TGAGGAGAAGTGAGGAATATTATAAGAACAGCAAAGGGGTGGGAGAGGCTGGGGGGAGGGCAAGCAAGAAAAGGAGGGTAGGAATTCAGTGCGAATAACTTGTGGTCAATGGGCTTCAAGATTTTGTTGATGAATTTTTGATGATCTTAAACTGCTCAGGGCAGGTCACTAAATGTAGTCTTGGCGACCTTTATATTTATAGAGAATAGATAGGAGCTTTAAAGCAGGGCATTTCAAGTGTATGATACATATTGACTTGGAAGTTTGATCAAGTCATGATTGTTATGAAAATATGATGGAGCGCAGTCAAATTAAATGCTCCACTGCCGACGGAAGCGTTAATGTCCCTGTTCCGTGAGAGGTCAGTTTGATTTAATATTACGAAAGAGAGCTTATCACATCAAAGTACTGACCGATGGTTATAAAACCCCTCTTTGTGTCCCAAATGTTCGGCCTCACGTTGCGTGAATATTGATGATCAGAAATGGCCTTTTTCCTCACGCGTGCCTTTTTAGACGTGTTCACACCTCCTTCGCGTGTTAAAGGGTGGGTGTGGGGAATAATTGGTTTCTGTAACCGCAAACCACTCCATTTTCTTTTCAGAGATGCCGTGATTCGCCATTCAGTCGGAAGTTGGATCTCTGGAGCTTTCTAGGTAGGTCCCGCTGTTCACACATCTCTTAAGCGTCTTTTTCATTCAGAAAGAAGGTATTTCCGGTGATAAATTATCTATCGTCTTATAGCTTAGCTCTCACACGTTTGTTTTCGTTGATACCACCATTGTTCTACAAATACTTTCCTTGTGACATTTACCGTGGGGAAGATTGAACAAACTTTCCAATTTCCCCCGTTCAACACAGTTTTGAAACAAACCTAGTTATAAACAAGGAATATTGTCCTGATGTGCCACCAAGTTCTCCGAACTTGTACGAAATGAATTGTGTGACAATAGAGAAGAGAATTTATGTTTTAAACTTAGCAATGAAGCTTGTGCAGTTACGTGTTTCTGCTTGACCTCACATAAAGCCTGCGTTGTTATTGGCGCCAACATTGCGAAAGTTTTTTGTTTATCTTTGTGGTTAACAAAAGAAGTTTTAATATCGAAGACTCACGGAAGAAGAAAATGCCAGAAAAAAAAAAGTAGTGATAGATCATTCTAGCTACTACACTAACTAAAACCAAAGAGTTTTGACAAATTTGAAGTCACTGTAGAAAGAAGAATTCATTCTAAGACTGTCAAGGGAGTTTTATAAAATTGTGAAGTTAAAAGCGGAAAGCGCTTATCTGTACAATTCAACCAGGAATTTCTAAAAATGTGTAAATCTGGAATAATTTAGAACTTCATAGTTTTTTTTGAATACAGCATTAATTCAAAAGTAAAAGCAAAACGAGAGAGACACCCCAGAGAAAACTAATTGTTCTCTTACATTCTCCTCATTTGTTTTGTTTGACGTTTGGAGTTCTGGGTTTCGAGCGCACGTAACTTTTAGACGCTATTTCTATCTTTATGCGATCAAGTGAAAGCCAATTATGATATTTAGAAGTTAATCCCGGCGATAAGAGCATATTACTAACAAGTTGTTTATCTTTGATTTGCAGATTCGCCCAGGAGTCGCCTGGTGAAGTATCCGTTAATGCTTAGAAGCATCCAAAAATACGTGAGTATTGCAATCAGACTCGTGTGGGCGGAATTTCCGGCTGTTTCCCCTGGGGGATGCAGCGGCCCTACGGGAGAGACCTCCCCATATCTGGTTTTCCGATTTAGTGGCAATTGATTCCATTTCTACCCACCCACGTATTTTACCCGTGGGAGGTTGTTTCGTCCGGTGTACCGTGTTCTGTTCCGCCGCCGAACTTTCCCCTATATCCCCTCACATTCACGTACGAGCTAAAAGTTTCCACGCTAAGCACTTGCGATTCACAGATCACTGCAGCATATTTCATTGGTTATAGGTTGATATTATAACAAATTATCAAAAAGTGTCATAAGAGTCTTCGAAGAAACAGACGTTTCGGGTGTGTAACCCTTCTTCAGTGTTCAGAAAACACTGGAGAAGGGTTATACACCGAAACGTCTGTTTCTTCAAAGACTTTTATGACACTTTTTGATAATTTGTTGTAATATCAACCTATAAGCTATTTAACTGGAAGTGTCACGCGTCTTTAACGGTTTATCCCTTCACCACTTATTTCATTGGTTGTTACTTGCGCGTGGGTATCCGTTGCTTAGCAACTGCCAGTGAGAGACGTTACATGGATTTTTGTTGTGCTACGTAACCAGCTTGGTATATTTGGTTTCAATGGGTTTTGACGGCGCGAAATATGAGAGGGGTAGGGAGTCGAAAAGGGGACAGTCATGTCTTTCTGTCAAAGATCTTGCGTACGGTGCTAATTTTCTTTTTCCGATGTTATGTTGCAGACTCCAAAAGATCATTCAGACTGGCGTAAACTCGAAGAAGCGGTAAGTCATGATTGGGATTTTTTGGTTAAAGGAGTTCAGTCACGGTATTTTGAGTTATTTTGGCCATGTACAAAATTACCTTTAAATTGAAGGAAACCTGAAAATAATAGCTTACTAAGATAGAAAAACACCAAAGAGATAATAATACACCATAAAGGAACAAGAATGGTTAAGGATGGAGAAGATTGACACGGATTACAAACGACGAACTTGAAACATTTAGGCTAAATTTTTCAAGGTGCGCCAACCGTGACATGACTCTTTAAGGGTAGGGGTCATATCGCTCAAGCTTCAAGCAGTCTATTTTACCTTTATCGTAACCAGGCGAAAACTTTGACGAGACATTTCTTCGAGAGACGAAACGTAGCTGAAAGGTGTCGTCGAGAAACAGGCGCCGTTTCATTTTTCAGGTCGTCTCAGAAGGAATTCCAAACTTAGACCCCTCAGTAAAGAGACCTAAATAAGTCCCTTTTGAATTTCTTGTAGATTTGTCGTTTACAAGACATTATCGAAGAAGTGGACAGAAAAACAGGAGAAGCAAAGGTATTCTTACGTCATTTTATAGATAGTAATTTTCCAGTTGTTTTTAAATTAAAAATTAGTTTTTTCAATTGCTGTTTCGTTCTCTTGCAGTGTCAAGATGTACTCAGCAGAATCGTTTTCTTGGATGATAGACAGGTATAGGATCTGTGTTGTTCTGTTTTTCCGTCGTTGTACCAACGAGCGAAAACAGGTAGCTGGCGGCAAATGCGAGAAAACTTGTCACCAGAGCTAAGCGATAAGAAGTGCTTGAAAGCATACAACCTGAACCGGTCGTAAGCGCGGGAAAATATCCAGCCAGCAACAACCTAAACACACGAGTAGGATGCAATCATTACTGAGCGCGGGAAACATGCATCTGAGGTGAAGCGTGAGATAAAAAGAAGTAATCATTACTGAGCGCGGCAAAAAAATTCAACCACTGCCAAGCGCGAGGAAAACAACCAATCATTACTGAGCGCGGGAAAACATGCAACCGGTGCCAAGCGCGGGAAAACAACTACGCTTTGCGTGAGTTTATCTCGCACCCGATTGGTCGAAGAAACGTCTTTACTCCGATGGTCGTGGGCGTTTTGTATGTGTTGTCTTCTGTAAAACACCTAAATTTCAGTTAAGTAAGTGCCTAGCCTTACACATTTTTATATTGTTTATTACAGATGTGTCCTCATGTATTCAAGTCCAAAAAGCTTTTATGCAACGGAACACTAAGAAACAAACATGGAACGGTGAGAACTGAAGAAATTAAAGATTGCTTAGCCTTGTTGTAACATTGCTGAGTGTATTAATATCTCCCTCCCTCTCTGTAACACCAATGGTTGTAATTCTCTCTTTTTGAAACAGAAACTCCAAGTGTTCTTGTCCGAGACAGTTTTCCTTCTTACTCGTCCAGCCACAAGACAAGACAGAGCAAGTTATCAAGTCTTCACTCAGGTCGGTTAGATATTATTAGCTCACTGGCTGCATTAAAATGCAAAGCAATGAGTGTGGTAAAACCAAAACCAAAGTAATCACTCTGGCCAATCACAAAGAACACAGACAATCTAATGAACCAATCAAAATCCGAAGTAAACACGTGTAGCTGACACACAGCGCGGGAAAACGTGTGCCAACGAGTCACGATTGATTTTTGTTTTCACAGACTTGCTAAAGAAAGAACGAGACCAATTTTCCAAAATACGGACCGAACAAGCCTGTGCAATAAATTATTTATTATAATGGCTCTTAAAACTCTGCTGAGAAATATTTATACGCCCGCGATTCATTCTCGGTAAACGTGTGCGCTAAAGTTAAACATTTATTTAGGTTTTTCTGGTCGCATCTTGGAAATTAAACTCAAATTGTGTACAAAATATGAAGGGAATTGATGTCTACTTGACGGCAACTATTTTCTTTTGTCTAATGTTTTGAAAAAGCAGTTCGGTCCGTATTACAAACTTCGGACCTCTCAGGAAAAAAAAATCAGAATTATCGTTTTCATTTTGGACCAGTTTGTCCTATTTATTTTTACATCCTGTGCGGCCGAGTTTCTTCGCCGTTTTCGAACGCAGTACATGGAACAGTCATCTTCGAAGCCGTTATTTGTGTCTTCAAAGTCACTTTTCTTAGGATTATGCGTTGACTGACTTCCTTCGTAACAGTCGGTTTTAAATTTTTTTATTCCGTCTAGCGACTCTAGCGTCTCGAGTTTTCACTTGCCTCCCAGGAAACGAAGAAATTGCATGCCCTGTGTTTTATCTAGATTTACTTCCGAGTTTGAAATTGGTAAACATGCTGTGAGAGAACCCTAGATGGCGAGCAGTCTCTCTTTTGCTCGAAAATCCGTGGGGAAGAACACAATACAAGTGAGCGTGCGAGCGTGACTGCGAGCGTGACTGGGAGCGTGACATGCGAGCGACAAGTGACGAAGCCACAAGCCGCAAGTAGCGCGCGCGTCGGAAGACGCGACGCACTGCTTGCGGGTCGCGGCTTCGCATATAGCTCGCACGCTCACAACACACCGCTCGCTTGTGTGTTATGTTCTTCTTTGCGTTTTTCCCCGCGGATTTTTCGAGCAAGAGAGAGACTGCTCGCAGTCTAAGAAAATCCAATAAGTATTTCGCACTCTTTTCTTTCCTCCCAGACCTCCATGCGCAATTCACGAGAAACGCGAAAACCGCGAAAATTTCTTGCACGTTTTGAGGAAACACATTTTGCTGCTCACTCGTTCATTTCGCTGACTTATTTGTTAACATGATCCTTTGTCATCACCAGCCAATCCCAGTCGAGAATTTGTTGGTTGAGGATCTGTCTGACGGTGACTCCAGAATGGGCGGTTCATTCAAGACCGCGATATCAAGACTCGGTACAGGTGAATAGAATACTCTTTGCTCAATTGTAAAGTCACGTAACTGGGAAAAGCCGATTTTCAAGGATGGTCTC